GGTGAGTTGAGGGGGAATAAGGAACAAGGAAGCACCAGAAAACAGAATTTGGAAAATGACAGCAGTGAGGGAAGGGTTCAGAGCAGAGATTGGAAGAGCATGACCGGGTGGTATCCATTGAGAAATAAAAATAACACACCTGTGATGGTATTTTTAGCATGCAAACAACCGTAAGTAGAAACAAAAGAGAGATAGGCATCTTCTGCATCAAAAATTAATACCAAATGTTTCATAGAATCCCACAGTTGGATGAGGCTTCCAAGCTTATTTCGTCCAACTGGAACCTGAAGAGGATTTCCCCACTGCAGTATTCTTGACCAGCAAGTTCTTTACTCAGACTCTGCTTTAAGACCTCCAGGTCAGGAAGGAATCCAACATAAATGTTTCAATTATATTGAGTCCAAATCTATCTGCATCTTTTACAGGCTGCACCTGGTTTAGTCCTGGAGGAAAACAAAACAATTCTAATCTCTCTTCTGCATAATAATCCATCAAATATTTGAATTTATTAAACACCTTTCTGTTTAGGGGTTCTGGGGTATGCTCTCCTACTTCATTAGATTCACACCTTGGGCTTGAGGTAAGGTGTTTGAAAATACTTGTGTTTGTGTTGTCTCTGTGTAGCAATCCTCCTTCTCCTTTGCCAGTGGACATTGCCCCTCTTCAGGGCTGCAGAGTACAGCTAGAGAATATCTCCTCCAGTTCAGTGGATAACAGTTATCTGCATCATACTTCAGAGCTCACTACCCAGGAAGACATGACATGTCTGGAGAACAGCCTGGAAAAACAACTTGAAGACTTCGAGCCGGTAAATTCTCTGTCCCCTAAATTAAAAATCTTTCTTCTCAACTCTGTTTAAAAGAATATATTTTTTCATTTAAAAAAATTTTTTTTCCACATTGACTTTTATAAGATTTTTGAGTTCCAAATTTTTTTCTCCCTCACCTCCCTCCTCCCCAAGATGGCAAGCAATCTGATAGAGGCTATATATGTACAATCATATTAAACATATTTCCATATTAGTCATGTTGTAAAAGAAGAATCAGAAAACCATGAGAAAGAAAAAACATAGAAAAAAAAAGAAAAACTAGTATGCTTCAATCTGAATTTATACTCCATAGTTCTTTCTCTGGATGTGGATGGCATTTTCTGTCATGAGTAAAAGAATATGTTTTTCACAGGAACAAAGAGTATGGTTTGTTTTTTTAATAGCTCAATAATGTAAATAAGTAGTACCAGTATGTAATATCTCTTGCTAATATAGTATACCTCTAAACCTAATTATGGATTTTTAGTAAACTTTTTAATTGAACTGAAATGTATTTTTCTCTTACCCCGTGATGCCATTTTTCATGTACAAAGGATACTCTTCACATTGTCATCTCCTTGAGCTTATGAACAGCTTTTAAAATATACAGTAATGTCTGCTTGGCCTGAAAAATCAGACCCTTTTGTATAACATTTTTCTTCTTAATGACCTTGTTATATGGACACTGCTGTCATGCCCCCTCTTTTTAGGATGTGACTTTGAACAGTGTGACGATAGAACTCTGATATTAACTTCATCCTTATTTACCATCCCCTGCAGAGCTGTTCCTGTTCCTTAAACTCATGCAGACTTCTGTAGAACCTTCATATAGGTTCTACAGAAACTTTCCTGTGGGGACCTAACTTCTTGGAAATTATATTGTATCTCTTTGTTAAGCACTGTTAGAAAGTTATATCCACCTACTGTATCTCTATTCATGCTGAAATTATAGTTGTGATACCCATAGGAAATAGTCTTTTGGCTATTTCTAGGCAAAAAGAAGAGGTTGTGTTTTAACCTTGTTTCTGCATGCCCCTCTTTCTTTCTCTAACTACGTGGCAAAACATGGCTCCCCAAATCACCATTTTCTTCTCTTAGGAAGTGGAACTCCATATTGTCCTGACAAAATCAGACAAAGGTAGCCTAGGCTTTACAGTTACCAAAGGTGCTGAGAGTGTTGGCTGCTATGTCCATGATGTCATTCAGGATCCAGCCAAAAGTGATGGGAGGCTCAGACCTGGGGACCGACTCATAAAGGTGAGACAGATAAGAGCAATGGGGGAAAGAAAGACATAACATTGGTCAAAATATAGACCAGGGCCAATAGGAGCAGAGTAGTAAGATGTGTGTGGTTCTGTTTCTTCTAAAAAAAGCCTACATTTAAAACTACTACCAGCCTTTTGAGCCATTTAAGAAATGACTAGGTTAGCTTACTCTTTTCAGTAAAGCTGCAGAGTTTGACAGATTGTGAGTCTTGAATTTAGTGAGGTATATTGTATTAGATTTATGTTATAGATGTGTTTTCCATTTTCATTTTATTTACGAGTTAATGGAAATAGGATATTCAGTTAATCAAAGAGGCCACTATTCATCATGCATCTATTGTTGACCAAGATATGTTTTAAACAGGTTAAATGCAATAATATAATTTCCCTGGCACCCTTGACACCCATAAGTCATAGGTGCCAAACATGTAGCCCACGGACCACATATATGGTTGGCAACATTCCCTACTGTGTCCTGTACCAGAGTAAAATGTAATTGAGAAATATTTAACAAAATAAATACAAATACAATAAAACATAGATAATTACATTTTAAGGCTGAGTTGCCATGCCGCCCACAGGGATCCTTACTAACAGGTTAGTGGCTTCAGTTTCTTTTTGTGTTTGACACCCCTGCCGTAAATTATCATCTTCCTTTTCCGTCTTTTCAGGTTAATGACACAGATGTCACTAATATGACTCATACAGATGCAGTGACCTTGCTTCGAGCTGCACCAAAGACAGTCAGATTAGTTCTTGGACGGATTCTGGAGTTACCTAAGATTCCAATTTTGCCTCATTTGCTACCTGATATTACACTAATGTGCCTCAAAAAGGAATTGGGTAATGCAGAATTAAATTTTTTTGAAATATTTTGTTGATCACAATAAAGAAATTTCCTTTTATTACCAAGCCAAATTAAAATTTACTGAGTGTATTTCCCTTTCCTTTGAAGGTCTGTCTTTATCTGGAGGCCATGACAGCATTTACCAGGTGATCTATATTAGTGAGATCAGTCCAAAGTCTACTGCCGCCATTGAGGGTGACCTCCAACCGTTAGACATAATCCATTATGTGAATGGAATCAGTACACAGGGGATGACTCTGAAGGAGGCTCAAAGAATACTGGAAATGTCGTTTCCCTCAGTGGTGCTGAAAGCAACAAGGTATTTGTTGATTTCTTAGTATATGTTACACTCACATCCCTTAAAGGTTTTCAGACTCGGGCATAAAGTTAAGACAGTAAGCATTTATTTAGCACTGTGCTTGATGCTGAGAACATAAATACAAGTAAAAGGAGATAGTCTCTGCCTTCAGGGAGGTTACATTCTAAAGGAACACACAAAAGGGAGCTGAAAAGCAGGTGGGAGAGTGGATTGGGGTCAAGGGGGACATAGAAGGAAAAAGTAAAGGCACCTGGTTAGAAGCACAGTCCAGAGGGGAATAAAAGTGGACCAGCCTGGGTCCCTGTACTGAGGCTAGATTGTTCTTTTGTTTTTAAAATGCAATCCGGGCTAAATGACTTGCCGGGGGTCACAGAGCTAGTAAATGTCAAGTATCTGAGGCTGGATTTGAATTCAGGTCCTCCCTTACACCAGCACCCATGCTCTACCCACTATACTATCTAGCTCTGCCCCAAGGCTGGATTGTTTGAATAGCAAGGGATTCTGAGAAGGGTTTAGCTAACTGTTCCTGAAATTGATTACATCCTAACAATTACAGGAGCTAAAAGAAAACAATGAATGGCATTTTTTTTTCTATCATCAGCTATGGAAATAGGTTGTGAAAGTGAACATGAAGGTTATAGATACGGTAGCTCTAGATACTACATCAAGGACAAATAAATGCTGGAGAAACTTATCACACTGTCTGTTGTATCATATTATGTTATCTGTCTTTTAGGGTTACACAGCTTATCTTTCAAATGTGAAGTTTTATTACTTTTTTTTGTCAATTTGTTAGTCAGATCGTTTGTCATTCCTTTAGCACTGTGTAAATTTTCCCTTTTCCCCAATGGGAATCACTGACCTGATTTCATTTGTCTTCCTAAGGATTAGGTGGGCAAAGAAGCATTTGCCCAATGAGGCTTTCAATAATTGGTGAGAGGAGGTCAGACAACCCAAAAAATATTTTTGTGGAAATCAGTCTTTTCCAGTTCCTGTGAATTGTTTTTATATCCCAAGAATCCCTTACCACCATTAGAAAAATGGAAAATGGGGGGAGGGGTTTTGTTGATGGCAGCAGTAACTGGAGCCCTTCCCTTACCATTGTTTTGTACATCTGTACCCATCAGTGGCATGGAATGAACAGTGGTTGTTACCAGTGCTAATGCTGGTTGTGTGGGCAAGTGAGAGATATTGGCAGTAGTGACTGCTACCATCTATTCCTGTACCTTTCCTCTCAGTGTCTTGTTAACATTGAAATGGTGTGTAGCAACATTGAATTCAGGACTATGCCCAAGGCAATAGTTATTGCTAAATTCTGACTTTCTTTCTGGGACCTTCCCCTCCGTTCCGCCACCACCCAGCCAGTGAAAGTTATCATTGTGACTTCTTTATACTTCAGTATTGGTAAAAGAAAACATGGTTGAATATCTTTGTGTTAAAAATGTACTCAGACACCTAGTACTGCTAAGTCAAAAGTTAACCAGGCTTCAAAGCTTTTGAGCATTGGGTGCATTGCAGTATTTTGGGGGGGAGTAGATATAAAATCATTTTTATTTAAAGGGAATGCAAAGCAAAATTGTATAGTTAAAAGGTTAAATATCACAGTGAACAATAATATCTTGAAGTTTCTGAACAGTGGATTTCCCCAATAATTTATAAATGTCTTTTTCTTGGTGTCACAGAGATGGCCATCCAGTGGTTCCCAAGTCAAAGGGACATACTAGTTCAAACTCAAGGTCAACTAATGCTAATGGTAAGGATAATATTGTAGGAAACGGGTTGTTTGTTTTATCTCTTCATTAAAAGAATGTCACTATAGTGTTTTTATCATCAAAAATACTTATTAAATTTCCATATCAGACAAAACAAATTCAAATGTGGACATGACCAGAATTCAGTAGAGAATATAATACTTGGATACTTTAGATACTGAAGTGAATGACTGACTGACTGACTGACATGCCTTTTGAAAATAAGGAATCATACAATCACAGAATATTTATGATGGAAGGGGTCTTAGAGATCATTATAGCATATCGATAATCTGCACTGAAAAGTTTTGCAATTCACTTTCCTCACTCTGACTGCACTCCTCTGACTAGAACAGGAAGATTACTGCCAATCACTGATGCTAAAATTCCCTCTTTCAGATTTTCATAGGGATCCTCTGACTTTAATGTTATAGAAATTGATGGAAAAAATAATATTTACTTTATGATTTTATAACTGAACATTTCTCCTGGCAGCCCCTATCTTTCCAGGATCACAAAACTTAAATCCTTATAGTTTGACTTTAAACGAAACTCCTTGGATGGAAGCTCTTGCCCACCTTTCTCTGAACCCTTCTCAAAGTCACTTTGTACTCCTTAGCTGAATGAAAAAGCATCTCTAACTCATTTAGTGACTCAACATATTATTTATTTGAAGACTTAATTAGCTTGTTACACACCATCTTTTTTTCAGAGTTTCTTAGTTTAAATACTACAGTTGGGCATAGAAAATGGTGTTTATCTTAATTCTGTACTTAAGAGTCAAGAACGGTTAAAGCTAATCAGAAGTAATGATGAACTTTACATAAAGGCTAGAATAACAACAACATATTTTATCTTTTAATACTATAATAAGTCAGACTTCTTCTCTGATATGAAGGGAGGGCCAAAAAACATTTTACATGGATTTTCCAGATCTCGGGGGCACTGTACCCCTAACTCCCTTGATGTGGAAGGGATAACTGTATAACAAGTAAGTAGCTCATGCTTCTATAACTATGCCAGAGGTGGTCAGTATTGGGCCTAAGTTTCTTTAGCTGTAAATTGAGTTTGAATAGACCAGATTCTATCTAAGTACTACCAGTCTTTTTTAGATCACATTCATTTCTGAGTATATCCCTCCCCCTTTGCTACCCCACAGGCTTCAAACAAAGAACAAAAAAGGGGGAAAACAAAGTCATTCAGCAAAATTAACCCACACCACCACCAAGTCTGACACTATAGGCAATGTTCCACATGCATAGACCATAGCTGCAAAAAAGGGAGGGAGCTGCATTTATCATCTCTTCCCTGGGGCCAACCTTAGTCTTTAGAATTGCTTGGCATTCTGTTCAAGAGATTTTGTTTCCATTTTCATGACTGTGGTTTTTGTGTATATTTGTTATCCTGGTTCTGATGACTTCAGTCTGCATCGGTTCATTTACATTTTCCCATACTCCTCTGAATTCTTTGTCTTTGTCTTTCTTACATTCGTGTATCATAGTTTAGTCATTTCCTAATATCATTAACATTCCATTGCATTCATATACAGCATCCCACACTGAGTCATTCATTGGGAATAGCTAAAAAGTGGCTTCTGAAAAAGAAAAAAGAACAGTATAGTGTGAGTAGCTTTTCTCAGGATGTCTGTAAAATAACAGGATTGACTAGATAATCTCTGAAGTTTCTTCCAGGTCCTACATTCCATGACTCTGTGACTTTTTGTCTACTATTCAATTGAATCTCAATCTTTGGTATAAGTCTTTTGATATTATGCCGTTATGGTACTGGGATATACAATGGCCTTGGCTTATTTGGAATTCATCTGGTTGTGATGTTTTTCTGCTGCATTGTCAGCATCACTTTTCTTCATTCCTTGTAGGTCATCACCATGGCAGTCACTGTGGCCAACCAGCTGTAACCTCAGATAATTCTTACCCTAAGGTAAATAGAAATCCCTGTTTACTCATTCCTGTCATACTCAAGCTAAGTGAAATATGCAGATTTTGCATTTTATTCCAATAAGTTAAGAATTTGTCTTTTTTAGGCATATAATTTCATATCATTTAATGAATCACTAAGGGAAAATACCACATTCATAGGCTCAGAGTATTAGGCAAACACTTAACTATTATTGACTGAGCTGAATTACTTAACTGGATCGTTTTGTTTCTGGGAGTACTTGGCTCACATGCAGAATTATGTGTAGTTGGCCCCAGGATGGAGCACCAGAAGAGGATGTGGTTAGCAGAATTGCTGTATCAGCTTTGTGTTCACCAGCCCTGACCTTCAAATGTCAAACCTCGCTTCCAAGAGATCACTTGTGGCAAAAGTCTAATATACTCCCTAAAGGCTCAGGAATTTTATCACTAAGGAATGATGTTTTTTTTTTTAAAGAAAAGCTTAAGAATTGTTTTGCCTGCTACCTTGCTTTCTGACAGAGGGGTAATCAAATCAGAGTGCAGATTGAGACATACATTTATTTAGACTTGACCAATGTGGGAATTTGTCTTGCTTGATTAACTTTATGTGTTACAAAGGATTTTTTTTCCTTTTGCAGTGGGAAGGGGATGGATACGAAGGAGAAAAAGTAGATTTTTGATAATTTTTTCAAAATTTAATTAAAAAAAATAAAATATACACGTGGGAGAAAAAAAGAATTGTTTTGGTGAATGAGGGAGAAAGGAGGGCAGATTTTACAAAGGATTTTACAAACTATGCCTAAATCCTAGTTTCATTCTTTCTGCCCATTTCTGATTTTAAATCTATGTAAATAGCCCTAATAGAGCTTGACATGATTAGAGCATGTGCTGAGCATTTCTTAAATAGTAACAGCTGTGTCTGTTTATAGTTTGTCCTCTGCTGTGTTTTAGAGGAAAGCTTCAGTCACGTCGTATGTACTTTATTAATGTCACTTTGAAGCTCACACATTAATTGTTTTTGGCCTGTGTAATGTACAGGGAATTGCCCTCCCTTGTAGCCATCTGCAGATGCTACTATCTGAACAGGGCAATCTGGGGTCTAGCCCCAAACCCCCTCCATGAGCAATATAGCTTTTACATATACTTGTATTTTGCAGAGCATGCTCTATCTCATTTGTTCCTCATAACAATGTAGCATGAGTATAATTAGAACTATTTTTCAGATCAGGAAACTCAGATAGTCAAAGAGAATACTCTAGGTCTTTAGATTCCCGTCTTAGACCCCTTTCTGCTACACTCCACTGCCTTGTGACCCTTAGATATTCACTTAACTGTCCCCTTCTGCTTCTTTATAAAGGGACCTCTAAGATCCTTTCCTGCTTTAAAAAAAAAAGGATACAATTTCCAAGTGAGGCAGGTATGAACTTGATGATGAAAATGTGCCGTGTTATCTCAGGTGGGTCACTCACTCTCTAGACCAAGTTAAAGTCAGGCAGTTAATGAAGCCTAGAGATAATAAGCCAGGAGCACCTGAGGCCCCCACTCAGAAACGGTTTCTTATTTCACGTCTTGAGAAATGGTGAGAACATTCACTTTCTTCTGTCTATTCAGCAGTTCTTCACTTTCACAGAGTTCAAGCAAATAAACTTTCATGAGTTCAGGGTTTCTTCCTGCTGAGCAGAGTGTGTTTCTTTGTAAATGTCAGCGCCCTGCTGTGAAGGAGAAAGGGGGAATTTCTCTTCAGTTAACATAGCTCTCATGAGACTTTTTTCCCCCGTTCAAAGCTGCCCATGGTTTTTAATGTAATAAGAGTCTTCCCAGAGGAGCCCCCAAATTTATTTTGTCTTTGAATGCCAATGATTACACCGTGACTTCCTCATGAGAAGGAGACTCTTACAACTGAGTAAAACTTTTTGGCATAACTGGCTTATGACACCCACCAAATTTATTTTCCTCTTAATGAAAACAATGACATCCTTAGAACATTTGCAACTTAACAGTGGTGGTTTAACTTTGGATTTTTTGGCAGAATCATTTTTCTTTCAACCAACTATGCTATCCTTTGAAGTTATTGCAGCAATTTATAATTAAACTAAAAACTTAAGCAATATTCAAGATTTTATTAAAAAATTGTTATAAAGCCATTGATTGATCCCTAAATTTAAATCAAGATTGTATTCAACTTGAAAAAAGCCATCCCTGGAAAACTGAGAATTGAAGTTGACTGATCAAAGTATCAGTGAGTTACAACTGTGTCTAGGTAGCAGTTTTAAAATACTTTTTAAAATTTCAGGGGCAGCTAGGTGGTGCAATAGATAGAGTGCCAGCCCTTTTTAGTCAGGAGGACCTGAGTTCAAATGTGGTCTCAGACACTTGACACTTACTAGCCTTGTGACCCTGGGCAAGTCACTTAACCCCATTGCCTAGCAAAAACAAACAAAAATTCATCAATATCTTTTGTTCTTACTTTACCTTCCTTTCCAAGTATATCCCCACCTTGTGCCCTATGCAGAATGCTATTCCTTATAACAAAGAATAGAAGTGGTTCAGCAAAACTAAGCCACCTATAAATTGAGTCTGACAATATATGCAGTTTTCCACACCCAGAGTCCCCACCTCTGCAAAGAAGCGAGGGAGGACATCTTTCCTGACAAGCTTAAAACCTAATTCTGGTCCAGGTTTGTTGTACTGCTATTGCCATGTTTATTGTCATTCTGTATTTGCCTGGTTCTGCTTTCTTCACTCTGCAATATTTCATATAAAGTGTGGATTCTTTCCTTGATCTCCCCTTCCTTTGTTTGCTCTTTCTACATTTTTGAAATTTTTGGTAGTTCAGGATGTAGATTGCAGCCATGAAGCACCAAATGAGTACCCTAGATGGCAGGAGAGATCTTTCCTAGTCAACACTCTTCATTAATGATGAAAGCTAGTAAATGAGTTTGTTTCTTCATTGGGAATTGATGAGGATATATAGATAACAATTCCCACTTGTTACAGCAATTTTATGGTGTTCTGTTAGAGCAGTGTTTATAGTTTGGCTGAAAGCTAACTTTCCTAGATTTTTAGTTCATGACAAGAAGCAAGCACAGGGAAGAGAGGTCCCAAAGAGGAGGCTGTGTGCAAGGAGGTCTTGGCAGGGAGTTGAGCTTGGGGTATTGGGAGAAAATGTGTACGTGTGCTAGTATATAAAATGGAAATATGGGTGAGGCTGAAAGGTTTTGAATATGGAATCATAGTAGAAATGATATACTATAGAGAACTGGATGGATAGATAGATCTATCTATCTATCTATCTATCTAAGTAGGTAGGAAGGTAGATAGACAGGTAGATAGGTAGGTAGGAATGTCTAGGCAGGGCAGTAAATAGAATCAGGAAGACTCATCTTCCTGAGTTCAAATGTGGCCTCAGACAGTTACTAGCCGTGTGACTCTAGGCAAGTCACTTAACACTGCCTCACTTTCCTCGTAAAATGAGCTGGAGAAGGAAATGGCAAACCACTCCAGTATCTTTGCCAAAAAAATCCCAAATGAGGTCACAGAGAGTCAGACACAACTGAAATATAATTGTATTACAACAAAGGTATAGATAGATTTCTATGTGTACGTGCATGTGTTTATTCATATATGTATCTGTAATAGAGGTTTCTTAAATTTGCATAAAATAAGGCGACCGTGTGTGTGTCTGTGTGTCTGTGACTGTGTGTATGTGTAATATATGTATTTCTTCATGTCTAGATTGATCAGCCAAGGACAGTAGGGTTTCACAATCCAATATAGTTAAAATGTATCAATGAAATTGCTGCAAAAAAAAATTAATGGTCTGGTAAATGGTACATGAAATACAAAGTAGATATAAAGTAGTAACTGAGCCTTCCTGTTATTTCTTTTGTAATGTCATTAACACCTATCAGAGGCCAAATGGTATAATGGATGGTGGACCAGTCTTGGAGTCATTGAGATCAGGTTCAAGTCATTCCATAGATAAAAATGTAAACTATAAACAGGTTATTAATCAAGGTCCACAGAGGGAATTTGCACACCAGAGCTTCCTCACTAGTGAAATCACAGGGACAGAATCAGGGGATATCACTGAGTCTATAAAAGTATCTGTTTGGGGCAGCTCGGTGGAGCAGTGGAAAGAGCACCGGTCCTGGATTCAGGAGGACCTGAGTTCAAATCTGGCCTCAGACACATAACACTCACTAGCTGTGTGACCCTGGGCAAGTCACTTAACCCCATTGCCCAACCAAAAAAAAAATGGTGTCTATTTGCCAAAAGAGCCATCTATCAATACAGCAGACTGGGAACATACCTCGTTCTTGGGGAAGCAGTCACCAAAAAGAGCTATTAGCTCCACTGCACCTCTCTAAGACCTGGGCTATTTCAGAAGATAAAACAATAATTTTGTTCCTATCATGGTACACAAGTATTTATCTTGCACACCTAATGGACTCTCAAGAGACATATAATAGAGATGCCTTCCTACTGTGATTTTGGCTGACAATCTTTTAGTTTTTTGGTTCCATCTTTTAGTAATAGCTGGTCTGTCATCTGATTGAGTTTCAGATTGGGAAACAATTATAATCTATCTTTGTCATCACTTGTAAATACATGGTGTTGATTGAAAAAATGCTGTATTGAGAGTCAGCGGATTCAAATTCCAGTTCTGCTACATACCACTTACGTGGCACCGGACGAGTTGTTTACCTGTCTTGGACTTGTTTTCTTTCTCTGTAAAAAGAGGGTGGGACTAGTTTACCTCTGAGGTCCCTTCCTGCTCTGCGTCTGTCATCCTACAATTTTGGTACTCTGTCTTCAGGAAAATCCCATCTTGCTGTAAATTAGATAGCAGTTTTCATTTACTGCCTTCTTCTGATGCTTTTCTGGATTCTAAACCAAGAAGGATAAAATCAGGTAATAAAAATGGGCAGTTGAGGGTTAGCCCCCTTATTAGTCTCTCTGCCTTCGCCTGACCATGGTCCGGGCTGCCCACCATTGCCTAGGGAAGCTTCATGTTGTACTTCTGTGGTCTTATTTTTCTACAGAAAAACCTCAAGTTATTCACCATTACCCATCAATAAAAGTATGTGTTCTCATTCCTTATATCCAGACCCTTCCTTCCCAGTGTGGCCAGGCCTTATCTTTTCAGCCTCTTCCACAGAGCTGCCCTTTACACACTCTTTTTTTTTCCAGGCATTTAGGGTTAAGTGACTTGCCCGGGGTCACACAGCTAGTAAGTGGCAAGTGTTTGGTATGAGGCTGGATTTGAACTCAGGTCCTCCTAACTTCAGGGTCAGTGCTCTATCCACTATGCCATCTAGCTGCCCTGCCCTTTACACACGCTTGTTCCAGCCATTCTCCTGCCACCCCATCCAGTCATCATGCCTAGAAAGCATGGAATGCCTGGAACCCACTATCCCAATCCTCATGTGTCAAAGTTGACACCTTCCTTTAGAGCCCAGTCCAGCCAGCCTCTCCAGGAAAATTTTCCTTGTTTTTCTCTTCCTTCCCTTTTCCCCACTAGTTTGAATCAGTTTTTCCCTCAGATTTTTCCCAGCCCCTGCTTGACGTGGCTGTCCTATTTTCTCATCTTTATGTGTGTGTGCTCACCTTACTCACCTTTGGTTCTGAACTCGGAGACAGAGCATCTGGGAGGCAGGTCTGGGAGACTCTTCAGTAGTTCTCCCAGTCTAGCATAGGGAGGGGATGAGCCTTGATGAAAATGGGTTGAATTTAAATGGAATTTGTTGTTTGTTTGACACGTGCTCTCTGCTCTTATGAACGCCAGTCTGAGTTGTCCACCATGTTTAATCCTCTTATTGGATATGACCTCCCAGTCTTTATCAGGAATGTTCGGACTTTGGTGTTGTACCCCTTGCCTGTTTTTTCACTCTCACTAATCCTGGAGGATTCTTACTGTTTTGTTTACATTTGTCTGTCCCTGGCACCTAGCCCAGTGATGGCATGTAGTAGCTTTTTGGTTTGCATTTAATATATTACTCTGTCTTCAAGAGACAGGATGCAACTTTGTCCCATGGGAAATTTGATCTCACATGGCTTCTGTGGATTAGAATCTCCAAATTTTTAAAAAGTACTTGAAAACCTCAGTGTCTCTAGTGACAAGTTTCCATTTTATCAATGAGAGAGGGAATGTTTCAAACTTCTATATATTACCATGTAAAAGTTTAATCCTGGACCCCTAGGTAAGTAGAGTGTTTATGTTTCTTTTGCCCTGGTCCCCTAAATTAGACTGATTCATTCAAAAGGATAATGTTCCTTAGAAATCTGTAAAATAGAAAGTTAATTTACTTGTTTTTGCTTTGACATTTTAGACAAATGGGGAAAGAGTAACAGAAGATTCTTTTCTAGAAGAAACAAATTGTGTTTCTCAAAACAAGAATGCAGTGAACTTGATCATGCCCAGAGAGACTCCTGGAAGTTGCTTTATCAATCAGTCAACCAGCTATTCCAAGTACAATCATACCTCAGGTAAGAAGAATGAATGACTTGTCCTCAAAATATTTGGCTGAAATCAGTGTGTGTCTTAGGAATGGGACTTGGAAGGAAGAAAACCATGTAAAGCACAAGGATTTTTATGGACACTGTTTAGTCCAATATGATCGAAGCATCTGACCCTACATTTGATATTAGCATATCAAAGGAAATAGTTGTAAAAATAAGTATTCATTTGGGTGTAGGTCATGTTTCTTTTGTTCTGTGAAGCAGCGTTTCTACAACGGATCATAAATACTATCACCTAGAGAACTCACTACGGTGCCATCAGGCTCCTGTCTGATAGCATTAATCTTTGTCATATGAAAATCTTTTAAAATTTTGTTTCTGTGTTGAATTAATAATTCACTTGATATAGCTAAGGGGAAAAATCAATGCTGCTTCATTAACACCCCATCAAAAATTAATGAGCTCTTTTTGTTTGTTTTGTGATGGTAATTGGGAGAGGGTAGAATAATTGAATCATGTATCCCTAAGCACCAAACGTAGTAGCTGGTACGTAATAGGTGTTATTTTTAAATTTTAATTCAGTTATTAATATTAAATGTACAAGAGTTAATATTAATAAGTGTATTCTGTCTTCAAAAGAATGATTATAATTTTCAGAAATTAAAAATAACATATGAATTTAAATGCAGCACTCTATTCCCCTAACTGAGCACTTAAACTGGAACGTCAGGTTCCCAAAGGATGACGGGCTGTTACTCAGGGTTCTAGGTAGAACTTTGATGAGCCAGGTTTCTAGTAGTCATCCCAAGCCCCCACTAGTGTGTTCTCCATTATCAATCATTAAGCTTTCTTTTTTAAATAATTTTTTTCCATAATTACATGTTAAAACATTTTTTAACTTTTTTCTTTAAGTCTTGAGTTCCAAATTCTATTCCTCCCTCCTTTCCTCTCTCCCCTTTCCCCTCCATGAGACAGTAAGCAATCTGATAGAGGTTATATATGTGCAATAAAGTTAAAGCAAAATACTTCTATATTAGGAAGGAAAGGAGGGAGGGAAGAAAGAAGGAAAATAAAGAGAAGTGGAAGACCATTAAGCTTTTAGAAAAGGTTCCTTGTACTTGCTAAGGTAATTCTCTACAAACATTCCCTTCAAACCAGTGATGGCCTCTCCTCCTGCACACATGACCTCCTGGGGAAAGTGGTCTCAAACAGTTTAGTGATGGTGAAATATTTGTAGAGGACATGGGACCATAGGGTGTCTGCTGTGGACTGCATTTGCCACTGTGTATTGTGAAGCTGTAGTCATATGAAGAAGAGGGGGGAAAAGACAGGGAAAGAATCTCTTTCGCCTCTGAGTGACTGTCTCTCAGGGCTTGGCTAGAGCTCCTCAACTAGCCAACCGCTTACTCTTTTATATGTAGCCCAAGAGGTATGACTTGATCTTTTTTTAGCCAGTCACAAGGTGTTCCCTATGAGGTGCCATCTGCCTTTCATCCCATGGCTCAAAGACCTGTGATCCTTTAAAATTCATTAAAGGCACACCCACAGGGTGTGATATTATAGGAAAATTAATTAACACTTCATTTACTTTGTTTATTATTGATTATTTAATTATTATATTAGACATTGGCTGGCCTCAGCAAATCAACTGCACTGCTTTTGGCAAAGTTCATGTCCCAGATACTGAGTAGCTCTCTGGTAACTTGTGGAAGTTCACACATTGTCCTTTTCCAGTGCTTTCCTCAATACCTTGTACTGAAGAGCCTTACAAGAGCCTATGTGCTGATAAAGTTCAAAAACAAGTGGAAAATTAACATTATTCTATGCTTCCAGATACATGGTGATGATAGTAGGTAACAGCCAACTCTGTTCCTTCTAATGAGACGGAGGGCCACCAGGCCTTGCTGTTTGCTGAGCCGCTGCCTCCTAAGACCTTCTTAGCCTAACTCTCCTAAATCTAACCATTGGCCTTCTAGACCCCCCAATATGGTCATATGACCCCATGGCATAGCCTGAGGACCCTTGGGCCTTTCCATCCACACTCCAGATGTACCCTTAGGAGTTCTAGACCCTTCCATCCAGGGGCTAAACTTCACTGTTTTGTCTCCCTGAATTAGAATGTGATCTTCCTGAGAACAGGGACAATCTCACCATTACTCTTTCTGTCCCCAGTGCATAGTATTATGCTTGGCACATAATAGAAGAAGGGAAAGTAACGAGCAGTTATAAAGTACCTACTGTGTGCCTGGAACTGTGCTAAATGCTTTACAAATATTATTTTATATAATACTCATGAGACCTCTGAGAAGTGCTATTATTATCCCCATTTTGCAGTTGAGGAAACTGAGGCAGACAAGTGACTTGCTCAAGATCACATAGCCAGTAAGTGTCTGAGGTCAGATTTGTACTCAAGTCTTCAGACTCTAGGCCCCATTCTCTATCCACTCTACCACCTCACTGCATAAGTGCTCAATAAATTTGTAGGTGCTTAATAAATCCTTTTTCAGTGATTTAAGGCACAGCAAATGTCTCAAGGGATCACTGTCACACACAAGATGATGCTACTGGAAGTCCAGATAAAAATAACTGCTGAGTAATTTAGGACTCCCAGAATTTTTCCAAAGGATCTCTCTTAATGCACAGACCAACTTAAATGGATTTTATAACTTACCCCTCACTAAAACTTAACTTGAAAGGAAAATAAACTCAAGCCCTGAATAGATGTGGGGCTCCCTAAAGGGATTAAGCATTTGGGGTCAATTTCTCAGCATTCCCAGAGCAGCAGGCAAATGTTATCATATGCAATCCACAATGACCTCCTACAATCTGTCTGGACTTGTGTTCAGCCATCTGAAAGAAAAAAAAAGTGACCCACATAGGACTAAATAGTAACATGATCTTGAACAAATGAGTCTAGTAATGCAGTAAATAATCAGTACTTGAATACTTAAACAAGCAAAAGTTACCTTAAAGACAATAACTGACTTGAAGGAAATATCCCAAAAAACAGACTAATTACAGTTTAAAAGAGGGGGAAAAGATGCAAATTTCTGCAAGCTAGAGCATCTACGACTAGGAGTCGAATATAGAATCCAGGATCCTGCATCTTGGATGCACTGGATCCTTTCAGATGCCCCCGAATCATCCCACATGAAGCCCCCAACTCTCACTTGGATTAGCTGACTGAGTCCCCACATGGTAAATGGGTTTCTAGTGCTATTGCTGATGAGCCCCAAGCGGTGTGCTTCTCATTATCAATCAACCAGTTGAACTCCATTGACTTTTAGAAAAGGGATTTACTAAGATGGGTATAGCAAGATCAGCAGTTACAAAACCTGCCCATCCCCTAAAAAAAAGCCCAAGGCGTGCTCTTGCATAATTACACACAGAGTCAGGGGAAACATCAGCTTGAACTTAAAATACAATGGTAGTGGCACAATAAATGTAGAAAACTCACAACTCCTATTAGTTTACTGGAAGTCATTTTCATGGAGACTTCATGAAGTTTCACTTGGGTCTGTCTCTCTGCTAGGTTCCAAGCCTCAGTGCTTTTGGAGAATTCACAGCCGTTATTCTCTCTACTGTGAAAGGTCTCACTTCCAGATGCTACTTCCTCTATGGGGTGGCTATTCTTCTATATTCCTGTGTGTCTGTGTTTGACGTCAGTGTATCCTAAATGTATCTCTGCTTCTGGTCAGCTGTGTTGTCTCCTACTGGCTTAGGCTGTCTGATGACATGGTCCAGAGAGAGGGTGGGTGAGACAGAAAAACAGTCTCTTCCCCCTAAGGGCGATTCCTTCTCACAAGCTTGACTTTGTCTCTCAGGCTTATCACTTGGCCAATAACTCTGAAATGACTTTCGGTTTTATTTAATGCCAGAAGCTCAGAGGTGTATCTGATTATTTCAGCTGTTTTTATCTTCCTCTCACCCAGTGCCCCAAAGTCCTATGATTGTTCCAAATTAATTAAGGGCTTGTCAGCTTATTGGGATGAGATTTTAAGAAAATTCCTGAAAACTAGTTTAAACTATTGATTAACTGATGAATTGGGGTGGAGGTATAAAAAGATTGAAAACTACTATAAAGCACCTTGAACACTGTAGTGTTTCAAAGTATTAAATGACAAATATATGGGGAGGTGGGGCTAATACAGTACCTTTCATCTACATCTTCACTCAGTTTCTTACAGTAATGCTTCCTATGAATTTGTTTTTCAAGAAACTGAAGTACAAGAAGATGCCAGTTATGATGACGATCCCCAAGAAGATGAAGTCATCCAGTCTTTGTTGGATGTTGTAGACGAAGAAGCCCAGAACCTGTTGAACTGCGATAATACAATAGCAGGTGCCATGTAGACAAAGCTATAATATACAAATGGGTACTATCACTAGTGCACAGCTGCCTTATTTTAAGAGAACAAATCTGAGTTATTTTGAGGCCCCCTGAATTTTCCCTCCATCATTGAGCTATGGCCAACAAAAGATTTGGATAATTATCTTCTCAATCTTCTCCATTAAATCTAGAACATTTTGTCTTATTATTAAAATCCAAGAATGTGTTATTAATATCATTGTTGATTTATTTTTTAAAAATATTTTGCCCAAACATTATCTCCCAATCAAGACCACGGTTTTATTTCACTTTAATTTCAGGCATCCTTCTTGCATCATACAGTTCCAGCTGATGGATTGTGGAGGGGGATAATGATTCAATATATATTTTTTCATTTTATTTCATTATAATTTTTACTTCAGATAAGAACTTTAACCCACTATTGTGTATTTTTGGTTTGGGTGGATCCTTTTGCTATGTGAATGAAAATATTTCCCTGCCTCTGTGGTTTAATTGGTTTGCTTTTTGTATCC